ATAGCAAGACTCTGTCTCAAACCCCACCCCTCCATATTATCTCAGGAGTACCTGTTCCATTAGGTGCTGTTATAACATCAATTAAAATGTTTGCATTAGAGCTTGGTTTGGTGGCATATGATCCAAGTACCCTGCGAGGCTGAGGCAGGAGAATTACAAATTCAATCTCAGCCTGGGCAATTTAGCAAGATTTCAAAAAGGGACTGGGGATATAGCTCAGTGGGGAGGCCCTGGGTTCAGTCCCCAGTATTTTTTTTTTAATTACAATAGGCCTGCAGATTTATTTTTATATTCTAATGTTCTGTACTTTAAGGTCTGTTTGGGGGCCTGGGATTTAGCCCAGTCGTTGCACCGCCTGCCTTGGAGGCACAAGGACCAGAGTTTAATCCCCGGTACCAAAAAAAAAAAAATCTGTTTGGTTTGGATGTTTTGTTTTAAGACAGAGTCTCTCTGTATACTCTAGGCTAGCTTTAAACTTGAGGATGATCCTCCTGCCTGGGGTGCTGGCATTGCAGTATGCACTGCCACACTTGGCTCCTTTTGTGATTTTAATGAATGAATGCCTTTTAAAATATAAATTGATTTGTGGACATAATTATTTTGAAGCTTTTTTTTTCTAGTTTATCCAAATGTTGTAGTTAATAAATAGTACCGATCTTTTTTTTTTTTGGTAACGGGGATCAAATTTGAGCCCTTGCGCTTATGAGGCAGGCAGTGGAACCACTGAGTTAAACCATGTGTAAAACCATCCAAAGCAATGCCTGAACCATAAAAGCATAAAAAGCACCTTAAGAACTGTGATTATAGCCAGCTGTTATGCATATACTTACTAACATGTACATGTGTATGTGTTTTTCATTCTTTTGCAGCAGTATACTTAGGAATATTGAGAGAAAATCATCTAGTGTTCCAATTTATTTTCTCTGAAATTTCTTCTAAGCTGATTTATCTATTCAGGCTTAAAACTTTTTTTCCCCCTCTTAATTTCTAAGTGTGTTCTCTAAAATGCAAATAATTTCTGACAAAAATACCTCTAACCAGTATATTTTTTGATTCACTAATTTCTACTTTATTCATGTGTCCTTTTTTTCCTCAGGGTCCATTTTGCATGTTTGTTTTTAACAGAGCAGTTACCTGATTTTTTTTTTCCCCTTTTCAAACCATGTAAGCATTTGAGGTTATGAATTTTAACTCTGATTTCAGTTTTCAACCTCAGAGTCTGGAAGATGGATGAGTTCTTGGATTTTAATTAAACTCTAGAAGATGATGTGAGTATAATTTTTTTTATATCTTTGACATGATTACTTAGAATAAAAGCATCATGTTCTTTGGCTTAAATTTTTTATTATAAGTACAGTCAAAGGATATGTCAATTATTTTTTCCATCTGGGGGTCTAAACTGGAGCTTCAGTCCACCACTGAGCTACAGGTTAAAATTGTGTAAATGTGTATCAGTGCTTGCTAAGGTTAGATAAGTGTTCCCAGGGCCAGTGTGTTAAAGGCTTGGGCATCAGCCTGTGACATTACAGGGAAGTGGTAGAACCTCTAAGATGTAGGGGCTATTACAAGTCAGGTCACTGGGATGAGGCAGGATGTAGCTCAGTGGCACCGCAAACCACAAGGTCTTTTTTTTTTTCACATTTTTATCAAGCACCTAGCATGGGTAGGCAGTTTACAAGGTCTTGAGTTCAATCCCTGGTATCAGGGGGAAAAAAAAAGGTCACTGGGGATATGCCCTAGAAGGGGATTAAGGGATCCCAGCCCCTTTACCTCTTCCTGTCTTTGATCTCGAGCTGCCATGAGATGAGTGTTGCTCTGCCATGAGCTTCCCAGCATGCTATCCCCCACCAAAGTGGTAACTGAGCATGGATCAGAACCTCTGAGTAAACTAAAGCTTTCTTGCTGGGGAGCCTATTATCCTAGTGGTTGTGAGACTGAGACAAGAGGATCTCCATGAGTTTGAGGCCATCATGGGATACATACAATGAGTTCAAAGCTAGCCTGTGGTACATGGTGAGACTTGGTCTCAAAAACAAAATAAACTGTCCCTCTTTTTTATTATCTCAGATATTTTTTGTACAGTAATGTAAAAAACTTAACAGTGCTTAAAAATACGCATAGTTTATAAGGGTACAAAGTTTGATATTTACCCAGTTTTATAATCAAATCCCATCTTTGCTTTTAACAATTTTTTTCATAAATGTTCAATTTCCCATTATATTTTACCATAGTTTTTGCTTTGTTTTATTGTTGCTTAGAGTGTAATCAATCAATAACCTATCTTTTGAGAAGGGTCTAAGTTGCCCAGGCTATGCTCGTATTGTCAGGCTCCTGGCTCAGCCCCACCGAGTGCTGGATTACAGGCCTGCAGCACTGCACCTAGCTAATCCTCTTTTTCCTTTATAAATAAATTTTTCCAACTACAAAACTCATCTTCCATACTTTATGGTACAAGGATGGGATAGAAACAAGGGCCTCATGCATACTAATCAGGAACTCTATTGCCAGGCGTGGCGTGGGATGCCTGTAATCACAGCACTCAGGAGACCAAGTACTACATAGTTCAGGGCCAGCCTGAACTACATAGCAACACTTTGTCTCAAAAAACCACAAAAAAAATTCTCTATTACTGATTGACATTACCATTCCCCCCCCACCCCGGTACAGGGGATTGAACTCAGGGCCTTGTGCTTGCGAGGCAGACGGCAGAACCACTGAACTAAATCCCTGGCCTACCATTCCATTTTTTTCAGCTTTAATTGAGTTTATTGGTACATTTTAGGGATACAGTACAGTTACATTCATTGTTGGGATCTTGCACCTCTACATGACAAGTCTTGATTCTCATTTTTTCCCCTTACCTCTGCCCTCCCTTCACCCCCTCCTCATCTACAAACACTTATTTTTAACTTGAAAACAGTCTTGCTAAATTGCTCAGACTGGCCTCAAACTTGAGAGCATTCTCCTTCAGGCTCTTGAGTAGCTGTGATAAGGTGTAAACCACCATGCCCTTTGTCTGCTATGCTAATGAAAGGTGTAGAACTTGTTCTGCTGGTATTTACCTTTATTTAGCATTATGTATTTTACCCATACTCACCACTCTTCTATCCCCAGCAGTCCTGAATTCTTAATTGTTCTTTCCATGAGCTGCTCTAAGCCTTTGTCATTTTTGGAGAAAACATTTTAGAATACTCTACTTTTGAAGCTCTTAGATCTCTAAGATACTCTTTCTGGTATCTTGTAACTATTCCATTAAAGTTGTGTGTGGGCTGGGGCTATAGCTCAGTAATAAAGAATATGCTTAGTATATACAAGGTCCTGGGTTCAAGCCACAAAATCCCCTCAAAAATACCTGTTGGCCACTCTTCCTGCATTTCATGTAAGAGAAGTATGAAGGTTACCAGTTTTTCTACCATGTTTGAAGAATTTTAATGTTTTCTCCAGAATTCTTAATATAGTTTTCCACCAATAGATTTTACTGATAAAACATGCCCCTTTTTTTCTATTACATTTTATGTTGGATCGTTGCTTCAGAGTCCCATTTATTTATTTACTTATTTATTTTCCCTTTTTCAGAGTCCCATTTATTTTAACAAACACCATTTATTTGTCAGTTCTTTACCTCTTCTCCCTTCTCTCCATTTCTCCCCAGAATTGTCAGGCTGCTTTTCATGTTTTCCAGATCTCTACTGACCTTTGGATGCAGTGTTAATTTGGCTTTTCCTGGTGCTGTAATTTCTTATTAGTTAGGGCAGATACTCAGTGGGTGTATTGAAAGTGATTGAAATAAAGCATAAGACAAGAATTTGGACTTCAGAGTTAGACAAACTTGTATTTGAACCCCACCTCAGTTGTTTAACCCTGAATTTATTTAGCAATTCCATGCCTAAATTTCCGACTATATGGTAGAAATAATAATGCTTCCTACATAGCTTTAGTAAGGATTAAGGAGTTAGCTCCAAGTCTTAAGGATAAATTGTACCTCAGTTCATGAACCTAATTCTAATTTGTTCCACAATGCTGGAAAACACGGCCCCATTCATGTTTGAGTGGGAAAGATGGCCAACGCTGTGTTCGTCACCTCATTCAGAGTTTGCAAAAATGAAATTTTGCCAAAACCTTGTGAATAAATTGTTTGCAAACAAAAGCATTTGTGAACTGAGGTACCACTGTACTTAACACATAAAGAGCCTCAGAAGTTCATTGTGATTACAGATATTTTTAAAAATATGCTTCCCCTGAATCTTAAGACCAGTAGTTCTTTTCCTCATGTATGATCTTTTTGTTTCTTCAAGGATATCTATAAATAATAATTTGCCAAAGCATGTTTTACAGTGACCTTTACTGCCTCCCATCCTTTTACTGAGTGGGACTTTCTCCTTTTCAAGGCTGTTGAGGTTGGTGAACAGGCCATGCCTGCGATGATTTTTCCAGATAAATACAATTCAAGTGACTCATACTACAATATTCCCTGCTTAAGCATAAGTATTGTGGCATGCTGGAATTGGCAATCTTCTCATTGTAACTCTTCATCCTGTTCATTTCCACATTCTTCCTCATTCTCTGTGCTGTCACATTCAGATCCCAGGATTTTGTTTGATTTCCCATACCCCCAACCCTGAATTCTGGGGGTGGAAGAAATTGCCAAGACTTGAGACATGAGCATATGGGCTTCAGTTTCTAGTACTACTGCATATGCTTCATTTATGGCTTTTGGGGCAGGGGCAACCAGGCTTCTTGACTAATGCTTAAAAGGCACTGCTAGTTTGCTCAGAATAACTGGCTCTTACTTTAAGAATGTACTAAATGTAAATTACCAACATTCACTTGACCTTTAATAATCCTTAAAAGTAAAAATTGTGATTTTTTTTCTCTCAAAGGGACACTTCCAGCAACTTGTATAAATCATAAGTAATTGCATACAAATTCATACTGTAGAAATGTGTCAAACTTTTAAAAATGGGAGTATCAAAAAATTAAAGTGGAAGAAAAGATTTCAAGTTGGGGGATGTGATCATTTTTATTTTTAAAAGTTAAAATAGAAAATAATAAATGAAAGAGTTTGAATATAAGTTGTCCCGGGGGAGTCACAAAGGGCTGTCTCCTAAACAGCAGAGGTTGTCTACAGTTTCTGAATCAGCAATGCAGAGGCACCTCCTCCTCCATTGCAAATACTGGCCAGACCGTATTCTCCTTGCTTCAGGGCATGAGCCAGATGAACCACAATCCTGGCTCCAGACATCCTAGAATTAAGAAAGCATTTGTTTCTTTAATGTTGAACAGATTTTATAACTAACCAGAAAATGTCTACTACAAATTAACTTCTTGTAAAAACTACTGGCTACTACTTATAGTTGAATTAACTACTTTTCTTAAATTTAGAACTTTTGTTTCAGGAAGGGTTACATAGCTCTTCTGGAAGCCTGAGCACAGACTTTAGTTTCTCCTTTAGGATTCAACACTAATGGGTTTCAAACAGTAGGTGTGGGATACTATCAATGGTGGAAGGGCCGGTGATTTAGCTCAGTGGTTCAGTGGCCTGCCTTCCAAGTGCAAGGACCAGAGTTCAATCCCGGGTACCAAAAAAAAAAAAAAGAGAGAGAGAGAGAAATGGTGGTCACCTTACAAAGGATATATGGGAAGTACAATTTAGTGACAGCATTCATCATGAATCAGCTAGTTTAAATGGAATTACAAAGGTAGCTGTTAACCTAGAAAATATTTTACCTACCCAATTGGATGCCCCAGAGAAACAGATCCTCCATTAATATTCACTTTTTGGGGATCAATCTCCAGCATTTTAATGTTTGCTAGCACAACCACACTAAAAGCTTCATTTACTTCCCACATTGCAATGTCTTCTTTTTTCAGTCCTGCATCTTTAAGAACCTAAAAATTTTTAAGAGATGGTGTTCAGAGTTGTAACTTGGCCAGGGATTTAGCTTAGTGGTTCCACCACCTGCCTCGCAAGCACAAGGACCCGAGCTCGATCCCAATCCCTGGTACCAAAAACAAAAAAGTTGTAACTTACTTTCATTTTTTTGACATTCTGTAATCATGGTTTATATTTCCCTTTGATGTGTTTAAAATGTGTTTTAATTTCTGAAGAATCTTCTCATATTTTTGTTTTAATTTTCTATCTTACTGTACTACAAAGAATCTTATTTGTGCTATATCTGGTTTTTGTTTTGTTTTTTTGGTACTGGGGATTGAACTTGGACTCTTGTGCTTGTGAAGCCAGTGGCAGAAACACTGAGCCAAATCCCCAGCCCTGCCTTATGTTTGTTTTGAGGAGATAAAATTTGAAATTTTTGAACATTCCACAAATGCTTATAAAGGTATATACCTTGAATATACAACTTTATATATTAAGACATGACTACATGATATATTGCTTATTTTATATTCTTGATCTGTGAAATTAAGTAGATTTGTCTATTAGGAGGTTTGTTTTTCCTGTATCTCCTTAAGTTTCTGCTTTAATAAAGTTATGGGAGGACCAGGGATTTTGCTCAGTGCTGTCGCCTGCATCTCAAGTGCAAGACCCGAGTTCAATCCCTGGAACCAAAAAAATAAAAAAGTTATGGGGGCACAGAGTGTATTGGTGCATGGCCAGCACATGGGAGTCTGAGGCAGAAGGACTGCTATGAGCAAGAGACAGCCTGGGCTATATAGTGAGTTCAGGGTCAACCTGTACTACATAGCCAGACCCTGTTTCCAAACAACCAAAAATTACAGGGTTGTTTGGAATATATACATACCTGTTATGAAATTTCATTATATGACATTTTAATAGTTTCTCAGCTATGTATAAAGGTATTTTTGTGTTCGTGATTATCCTACTTTGTTAAAAAACCTTTTCCAGTGTCCTTTTTCATTAGAAATTTATCTCAATGCTTTGTAATCTTGGAATTGAGTTTGAAAAGCTTTCCTTTCTCTAGGTGCTATTCTCAAGAGCTGCATGTTCAGGATGAGGCCCTCTCAAGGAAATTTCTGTTGTGACTCACCTCCTCAGCACTTTCTTCATGACTACTTCCCACAGAAAGCTGGCTATTTTTCCCTCTGGTAACACTGGCAGTATGGAACATGTAGGTTTTCTGTGTCTGGTTTCACCCTTGCTCTCTGACCTGCTACCAGTAGTGCCCTTTCAGGATGGAAACATCTTTTGGAAATGACTGCTTTGCATTCTAGATCTGGGACTGCTAGAATTTTCCTCTGCCATACCACTTCTCCCTTTCTGTTTACTACATCAAGTATGTGTACCCAACATCATACTTAAAAATAATTCAATTATTTTATCTGTTCCAGTTAAGATGTAGTTTGTGGACTGCTTTGTTATTTTCAGGAAAAGTAAGAAGCTATCACTATGCTCTTGCAAACGGAACTGATCTTGTTACAAGCAAACCAGAGGTTAGCACAGTGGGGTACAGTCCCTCACCTTTTCTCACCTTAGGCACAGCATAGGCAGGTGCAACTGGAAAATCAATGGGGTCCACAGCAGCATCAGCAAATGCTGTAAGGAAAGACTGTTACAATTTTTACAAGCATCTAAAGCTTTATCTTTTATGTTTGATATATAAAACTAAAGCTAACCTTTTATACTTTTCATGTAATTTTTGGTAGATTACATATTTTTTAAAATTGATTTTTACTGTTTTATCTGCACATTATAATAAAAGTTTCCGTCTCAAACAAAATACGTATCAGTGAAATTCTGTCACAAAGCACAACCTGCAGATAGAAATGGCCAACTCCATTGTTATGTATTTCCAGCAGAGAGTCAGTTTCAGGAAGGGCTTGCTTATAGTTTAGAAATAAAACAACAGCAGAACATCTACCTGCTATTCTTGCCAGCGGCTTAACATTGAGCCTCTTGGCTGCATCTGTCGTCATCAAAACCATGGCAGCTGCCCCGTCGTTCAGCGTGCTGGCATTGGCTGCTGTTACTGTGCCTGAAAGCAGCATTGAGCATGAAGTCAGAACACAGCTCCACCCTGAATTCAGCTGGTTCAGTTCTGACCACAGTATGTCTGAGTTGCTGGATTTATGAAATCATTGCTGCCCTCGGGAAACATGTATAAAGCCAGCCACAACATGATGTATGCAGAGTGCCTTATGTTAGTGTTCAGTAGTTTTCTCAAAGCTAGTTCAAAAACATATTCATGATGGCACTGGGTAAATGCTGTTCAGCAACTCTTCAAAGATAGGGAAAGACTGGTTCATGTTTTTCTTCCCAGCTTAAAAAAAAAAAAAAAAAAAAAAAAAAAAAAAAAGAGAGAGAGAGAGAGAGAAATGGTGGTCACCTTACAAAGGATATATGGGAAGTACAATTTAGTGACAGCATTCATCATGAATCAGCTAGTTTAAATGGAATTACAAAGGTAGCTGTTAACCTAGAAAATATTTTACCTACCCAATTGGATGCCCCAGAGAAACAGATCCTCCATTAATATTCACTTTTTGGGGATCAATCTCCAGCATTTTAATGTTTGCTAGCACAACCACACTAAAAGCTTCATTTACTTCCCACATTGCAATGTCTTCTTTTTTCAGTCCTGCATCTTTAAGAACCTAAAAATTTTTAAGAGATGGTGTTCAGAGTTGTAACTTGGCCAGGGATTTAGCTTAGTGGTTCCACCACCTGCCTCGCAAGCACAAGGACCCGAGCTCGATCCCAATCCCTGGTACCAAAAACAAAAAAGTTGTAACTTACTTTCATTTTTTTGACATTCTGTAATCATGGTTTATATTTCCCTTTGATGTGTTTAAAATGTGTTTTAATTTCTGAAGAATCTTCTCATATTTTTGTTTTAATTTTCTATCTTACTGTACTACAAAGAATCTTATTTGTGCTATATCTGGTTTTTGTTTTGTTTTTTTGGTACTGGGGATTGAACTTGGACTCTTGTGCTTGTGAAGCCAGTGGCAGAAACACTGAGCCAAATCCCCAGCCCTGCCTTATGTTTGTTTTGAGGAGATAAAATTTGAAATTTTTGAACATTCCACAAATGCTTATAAAGGTATATACCTTGAATATACAACTTTATATATTAAGACATGACTACATGATATATTGCTTATTTTATATTCTTGATCTGTGAAATTAAGTAGATTTGTCTATTAGGAGGTTTGTTTTTCCTGTATCTCCTTAAGTTTCTGCTTTAATAAAGTTATGGGAGGACCAGGGATTTTGCTCAGTGCTGTCGCCTGCATCTCAAGTGCAAGACCCGAGTTCAATCCCTGGAACCAAAAAAATAAAAAAGTTATGGGGGCACAGAGTGTATTGGTGCATGGCCAGCACATGGGAGTCTGAGGCAGAAGGACTGCTATGAGCAAGAGACAGCCTGGGCTATATAGTGAGTTCAGGGTCAACCTGTACTACATAGCCAGACCCTGTTTCCAAACAACCAAAAATTACAGGGTTGTTTGGAATATATACATACCTGTTATGAAATTTCATTATATGACATTTTAATAGTTTCTCAGCTATGTATAAAGGTATTTTTGTGTTCGTGATTATCCTACTTTGTTAAAAAACCTTTTCCAGTGTCCTTTTTCATTAGAAATTTATCTCAATGCTTTGTAATCTTGAAATTGAGTTTGAAAAGCTTTCCTTTCTCTAGGTGCTATTCTCAAGAGCTGCATGTTCAGCATGAGGCCCTCTCAAGGAAATTTCTGTTGTGACTCACCTCCTCAGCACTTTCTTCATGACTACTTCCCACAGAAAGCTGGCTATTTTTCCCTCTGGTAACACTGGCAGTATGGAACATGTAGGTTTTCTGTGTCTGGTTTCACCCTTGCTCTCTGACCTGCTACCAGTAGTGCCCTTTCAGGATGGAAACATCTTTTGGAAATGACTGCTTTGCATTCTAGATCTGGGACTGCTAGAATTTTCCTCTGCCATACCACTTCTCCCTTTCTGTTTACTACATCAAGTATGTGTACCCAACATCATACTTAAAAATAATTCAATTATTTTATCTGTTCCAGTTAAGATGTAGTTTGTGGACTGCTTTGTTATTTTCAGGGAAAGTAAGAAGCTATCACTATGCTCTTGCAAACGGAACTGATCTTGTTACAAGCAAACCAGAGGTTAGCACAGTGGGGTACAGTCCCTCACCTTTTCTCACCTTAGGCACAGCATAGGCAGGTGCAACTGGAAAATCAATGGGGTCCACAGCAGCATCAGCAAATGCTGTAAGGAAAGACTGTTACAATTTTTACAAGCATCTAAAGCTTTATCTTTTATGTTTGATATATAAAACTAAAGCTAACCTTTTATACTTTTCATGTAATTTTTGGTAGATTACATATTTTTTAAAATTGATTTTTACTGTTTTATCTGCACATTATAATAAAAGTTTCCGTCTCAAACAAAATACGTATCAGTGAAATTCTGTCACAAAGCACAACCTGCAGATAGAAATGGCCAACTCCATTGTTATGTATTTCCAGCAGAGAGTCAGTTTCAGGAAGGGCTTGCTTATAGTTTAGAAATAAAACAACAGCAGAACATCTACCTGCTATTCTTGCCAGCGGCTTAACATTGAGCCTCTTGGCTGCATCTGTCGTCATCAAAACCATGGCAGCTGCCCCGTCGTTCAGCGTGCTGGCATTGGCTGCTGTTACTGTGCCTGAAAGCAGCATTGAGCATGAAGTCAGAACACAGCTCCACCCTGAATTCAGCTGGTTCAGTTCTGACCACAGTATGTCTGAGTTGCTGGATTTATGAAATCATTCCTGCCCTCGGGAAACATGTATAAAGCCAGCCACAACATGATGTATGCAGAGTGCCTTATGTTAGTGTTCAGTAGTTTTCTCAAAGCTAGTTCAAAAACATATTCATGATGGCACTGGGTAAATGCTGTTCAGCAACTCTTCAAAGATAGGGAAAGACTGGTTCATGTTTTTCTTCCCAGCTTTAACTCTTGGCTTACACAAAATTTAGCAAATATTTACTACATATTTTCCAAATCAGGATCAAAATCAGGTATTTCTTTTCCAGAATCACTTGAACTTAAATGTCAATGAATACTTTAAAAACCATTAAACTATACAATTTAAACATCAGAATGCTATAGGATATAAATAATAGAGAAGGGTTTGGGGTTTTGAGATAAGATCTATACTGTGTAATCAAGGCTGGCCTCAAATTTATGATCTTCCTGCCTCAGCCTTCCAAGTGCTGAGATTACAGACATCTGTCCCCATACCTAGCAAAAAAAAAAAGATTTTTTGTTTGTTTGTTTGCTTTGTTTTTAGTCCTGGAAAGTGAAACCAGGGCTTTGTGTTTAGTACGTAAGTGCTGTACCACTGAGCTATATTCACAGCTCAATAAAGCTATTTTAATAAAAATGTCAGTGGAGCTGGAGATTTAGCTCAGTGGTTCTACCACCTACCTCACAAGGACTCAAGTTCAAACCCTGGTACCAAAATAAATACAATTAAAAATGTCAATGAAGCTACCCCATAATAAATAGCTACTGAAATTATCAAAATACACTCTTGAGCTGGGGATTTAGCTCAGCGGTTCGGTGGCCTGCCTTGCAAGCACAAGGACCTAAGTTCAATCCCCGGTACCAAAAAAAAGATACACTCTTGTAATATAATTTTATATGATGTTTTGGAAAATGAACACTGATGTATTCCTATACCTGGAATTGAGGTCAATTAAAGGGAAAGAATAATTTCAGATTATTACAACTGTATACAGGCAACCTTAAAGAATTAATCAGAGAGTGTAACTCAGTGGTAGAACACTTAGATACCATGTGTCGACTCTGAATTTGATTCCTGGCATCACAAAACAAGATACTTAAAAACCCGATCTCATTTGTATCAACAACGAACAACTAGTTGTTGATTTTATTTATTTATTTATTTTTTGGGTACCAGGGATTGAACGCAGGTCCTTTGTGCTTGCAAGGCAGGCAGCAGAACCACTGACCTAAATCCCTGCCCCAACAATTAGTTGTTGAGAATCCACTACATGCCAAGCAAGAAATGGAGATAAACCAGTGAAAAAGTTATCAGCTTAGCCCTTAGGGAAGTTAGCAACAAACTTTGAAGATGAACAGCATATGAAAAAGTTACGTTGGGCCAAGGATTTAGCTCAGTAGTTCTGTGGCCTGCCTTGCAAGCCCAATGTCCCAAGTTTGATCCTCTGTACACCCCCCCAAAAAAAATTATGTATCTCCATTAGTGGGATTTATATATAAAAGATAAAAATTGTTAAGCAAATTTAAATATACTTTGGATTAATACTGTTATTTTACTTGAGTTTGGTATAGTGGAAATGCTAAATATCATATAGATGCCTTCTGGAATTATTTTAAGTCCTTAGGTATTTCCAAAAATCAATATGGTATATAATTCAATTTTTTCTTATTTTACTAACCGTTTTCTTTTTGGAAAACTGTTTTTAGCTTTGGAACTTTACTAAAATCAACACGCTTGTATTCTTCATCTTCTTTCACCACCACATCTGGTTTACCTAAAACAAAAATATTTTAAGTTATTACCATTTAAGTAAGACAAAATAGTTATCAAACTGACATGAGGTGTCTGGTAGTCTATGTCCCTCATTCTATGCCTGCATTCCTTAAACTATTCTGAATAAATGATCATTGGGAGTCTACCCTCTATAATCTCTATTATGTTAATGTTCTAAAGACCAGTTTATTAAGTGGCTTAAGGAAATTTATATCTCCTACATAGCCACATCCCATGATCTTTTCTGTCAGCCCCCCTTCTGTGATCACAGATCAGTGTGTTGACCCCAATGGTAGATATCAGGCCAATATCAGATAAATTCTATATTCTTTCATAGAGTGCACAGTAATCACTCCTGTAATAAAACAGGCAACCTAAGTTAACGAGTCTGTACTGTGGATTTACTCTAGTGGAATTGCTTTCCGCTCTGAATGAGAGCACTATAGATGAGACTTCAGAAATATAGGCAGCACCTTAAGAAAGCCTAAGAAAACAAAGCATTCAGCAGAGAAAAGCCAAGACAGCAAGTCCTAATAATATGGAGAGTTCCAAGCCAGAAGCTCCCAGCAGTGACCACTGCTGTTTCATCCTTCAGTTCTGAGCACTCCCAAGCAGGTGTCTGATAAAATATCTTCTTTAAACTTAAGCAAATGTGTTGCATGTCCTTATATGAGAATTAATTGTAATAAATAAATTTCTCAAATTTAAAATGTTTAGTGTAAAGTTGGATAGAAATGTGACATTAAATTGGGTTGTCTTTTTTTCTCTGAAGTTGGCAGCCCCTTATCAAGCCTAAGTAAGTGTCAGTGTTCTCAGCTAAAAGGAACAGATAATAATGTACTAATATAAAATTCAAAAACGTAGAAAATATTAATAATTAAAATCTAAAGACAAAAACTTTTGTAGCATTATCCCTCTACCTTTTACTGAAACTGTGACAGGAATAACTTCATTTCCAAACTTTCCAGCTTCCCATGCTGCTTTACTTTTGGTGTACGAGTTAATAGCATAAGTATCCTGTTCATCTCTTGGAATATTTAGCTTCTTTGCAGTATTCTCAGCACAGTTACCCTGAGAAATTGGAAATTGCTTTAAAACTCTGTACAACTTCTAAAACAATGCTTAGCAATTAAATTTAGTTTTTAAAAATATTTACATATACTTCATCTTTAAATACTTGCATTATCCTAGAAGTTACTATTATAGAAGTAAGAAAATTCCTTATGGGTGGGACAGCCAGGTGTGGTGGTGTATGCCTGTAATCCCAGCACTGAGGAAGCTGAGGCAGGCAGATCACTGAGAGATAAGAGGCCAGCCTGGGCTACACAGCGAGACCCTGTCTCAAAAAATCAAAAAAAGGAGGCGGGGGGGCTATTTAGCAAATGACCCATCTAGAACCCATGCTTCAATTCAGTTTCCAAAATAAAGCAAGTATATATGAATGATGGCATTCCCCATTAAAAACCAATATTTACCATGTGAATTTTATTGTAGACATCAGTTAGCCCATCTTTTACAATCAGATCTTCAAGTTTTACCCCACCATATGGTGTTGCTCCTCTGTTCATTATATATGGAACATTGGACATGCTCTCCATCCCACCTGCCACCATCACATCCTGCTCAGCAACACAAAAATGTTACGTCAGAGTTGCAACCCCAATATTCACACTACACAGCTATCAACAAATGGCTATTCTACGTATATTAACTATTTGTTACACACCAAATCCCCTTTATCACTTGACTCTGATAAAATGAAATAGTTTAAAATATGTAATGAAAATTAAGGTCAAGTCAAACACGAGAAAATCTATGTAAGGTCATCCGAAATTCTAAGCATTTCATTGACACCACTAAAAACTTAATGTCTTCTAAAAGATTAGAAGCAGTCTCAATTCACAGAAATAACCCTTCTGATTCCATGACTGAAAGCTCAACACTTCCTAGACAGCTGTAATATTGTCAGCTTCTTCTGACATGCAGTCCTTGCTTCCATGGTGTCACCTGAACCACCCTGGGTAGAATTCATCTTATTGTTTCACGTTTAAAAGATCTCAGTATAAAAGCTCTTTACAAGCTGCCTTCTCTCCCTTATCAATCTCATCTTTGCCTTTAACTCAGGTTATAACAAACTAATTGAAACTTTGCAAAGATACTATGTTCACTTAATGTATTACTTCTGCACTGGCTGACCACTCCACCGATATGTAAAACCCTACATTTTATGTCTAGGACGTAGCTCAGTGGTAGAACACTTGACGAGCATGCATGAGGCCCTAGGTTCAATTCACAGCAAAATAAATGAATAAAACCCCTACATTTTCTTTAAAACTAACCAAAACAGCCACTTGTAGTTTCCCTGACTACTTATTTCTATACTTTCTTCTTGAAACAGTTTTCCTTTCCCCAACTACTGTACGATGCATCTATTCAGAGTAACACTATATGGTAGGTACGGTTATTTGCCAGATCTTCCTACTAGTCTAAGCTACTCTGCAAAATCTTTGTTTCCATTTTTTTCCTTGTCCCTTCCTTTTCCCTCTTACCTTTCCAGGTTCCCCTTCTCATTTACCTAAAAAATCTCAAAGTTAGCCTTTATGGCATAGTAGTACTCCATTGCATAAAAAGCCACATCTTTATCCATTCATTGGTTGATGGGCATTTGAGTTGTTTCCAAGATTCACCTGTTACAAATTGTGCTGCTGTAAACATGGGTGTGCATATATTGCTGTGGTATGATACTTCTAATTCAAGAAGATATCGAGGAGGAGGATAGCTGGGTCAAATAGAACCCATAGGTTTAGTTATTTGAGGAAATCTTCACACTGATTTCCAGAGTTTCCATCACACGCACAGGAGAAGGGTTCCTTTTTCCCCCACAGCTCCACCAGCATTTGTTACTGGTTGATTTTGTGATAATAGCCATTCTTTCTGGAGATGGAATCTCCATTTTGTTTCTCTATTACTTGAGATCGAACTCAGGACCTTGAGCTTGCAAGGCAGGCATAGTGCCACTGAGCTAAAATCCCAGCCCTTCTCAATGTTATTTTATTTTGCATCTCTTGAATGACCAGTGATGTTCAATAGCTTTTCATATATTTGCCATTTCTACTTCATCTGAGAAGTGTCTATTCATTTCATATGCACATTTTTGGTTAGGTCTTTAAATTTGGGAGGTCGATTTTTTGGAGTTTTTTATTTCAGATATTAGTCCTTTGAAGAAGAGCTAGCAAAATTTTTTCCCATACTGTGGGTTGTCTCTTCACTCTGATGGTAGTTTCTTTTGCTGTGCAAAAGCTTTTTAGTAAGATGAGGTCTCAGTTAATGATTCTTTGTGATACCCTGTGTGATCAGAGTTTTGTTCCTAAAGTCTTTGCAAACACCATGTCTTTAAGAGTTCTACCTATTCTATCTTCCAGCAGATTTAGTGTTTTTCAATATTTAGATGTTCGATAGATTTTTATTTAAGGGCATGATGAAAGATATTGGTCTAGTTTTAATCTTCAGCATGTAGAAAGCACTATTTATTAAAGAGGCTATTTATTGTCACTTCTGTATCTCCTGCTTTTTTCACTGATTCCAGTCAATATTATGTTATTCTTCTTTGCATCACTTAGAGGCTGTTAGATTTTCCATCATCCCTTGCCTGTTTAAGAAATCATTCTTCTCATGATTGCTAACTTCAGTCCTGTCTTCTTTACACTGTATTCTGATATTCTTTCCTTACACTGGCTCATTCTGGTGTGTATTCTTTCAGTGGAATTTTTAATCTCCTGGATATCTGTTTCTTGGATTCCATTTCTTTCCTATGTTGAATGTTCGTTGTTTTCATCACTTTCCTAATTCCCTCTATTTTTATCTGTATGTGTTCGGAATTACTAAGCATGTCTTTTATTATGGTCACCCTCTTTGTAGTTAATCTGAGATTATTTCTGATTTTTTTTTCCTAGAGTCTCATTCATCTGTTGTGTTACTTCTGCTGTACCACTTCAGAGAGTCCAATTGGTTGGCCTTCAAACTGATCTAACTTTTGCCCCCTGGATTTGTCTTTGGTGAGCTGAAAGTCTAGTGTTGCATCTTAAGTGTCGTCATCTTTTTTTTTTTTTTTTTTTTTT